GCTCCTCAAAGCTCACAGTTTTCCTCGATCGAGGAAAACAGTGAGCTTTGAGGAACAGATAATGTCCAAGGACAAATGTTCGAGCATATTTCCTCGCCAAATAAAGGCTAATGTTTATGTATATGTAGGGTTTCGAGTGTTTAGCCCTTCGTACGTCAGAAAAAAGTTTCTAAAATTAATTGCAACTTTGCCACAGTTAGAGCCGTTTTATTTCTTTGTAGGATGACGCAAACAGCACAGGCATTGTACGATACTTTTTGCTGACGCAAGTACAAGCCGCATTATTCGCGAACTTTCAGAATTAAACCGTGTTCTCACCTATTTTTTATTATTATTATTATGCCCTATTTTAGTGTTTGTTGTTCAAACAACGCACGCTTGTATTGTTGAAAAAAGTAACTTCAGGAATTTTTGGTGGCTAAATGACCTTTGCTCCAATGTACTGCGCTATATATCTGAAGAGATACAGATAATACACGCCAAAGCAAAATTTGCAGATTGTAGTTTGCTTTCACGGTTTTTGATCAATTTGTTGCAAATCTGAACCAGCTTAGACCATGTCAATTCATATTCGTACATTTTTGTCCACTGAATACATTATCTTAATTGTATTGATGTTAAATTTTAGATTTTGAAATTGCTTCATGACATTCAAATGTAGTAAGGTCCAGTAAGACTGTTTGGTTTATTTTTAACAAAAACGAAAACAACTTCCACGTGAAAACGATACACGAGCAATTTTTATTTGGTTGAGTCACTCTTTCGTGATAGAAAGATGTTATCGAATGAGCAGCTGTACGAAATATTTTGAGAGTCATTGTTAAACATATATATGATATATTCATAACAAAATTAAATCGTGAAAAGGTTTACTTTCCTTCAATTAAGTTGTTTGAAAATCGAGTTGTTTACAATGCGGCCCACGACCAACATATTAAACAGCTGACTGCAACACAACTTTCTTTGCTCTTAAACAAGATCGAGCGAATAGTTAACAATTAACATGACAGAAGCCGTGATGATACGGGTCACATCCTTTGTTTGTCTGAGTTTAGTTTTGTTCAACTTGTATCTGCGGAGATTTTGCTGTCTTTGCGCAACCATTCATGAAGAAGCAAAGAAATCCTTTAAACTTCGGACCAATTATTATGGAAATGAAGACGTCGCTTTATTTGATTTAAATCCTTTGTGATGGCAAGTGGAGCCCAAACGTTAATTGTTCTTCCAGTCATATGTGGAAAAAAGGGATTAAAGCAAACAATTTTGTGCGCACTGATTGTTTAAGTACACTGTTTGCCCGCCGTTTACATTACATAAAAGTACGCGCTCGCACTTCTGGCTATAAAATCACAGCCGCGACTCATACGGATACTTAAATGAAAAAAAATTAAGCTATTTTAAATGGAGATGCAAGGTTTTGACTTCAAGGCTACTTCAAGATAATGAGCTTTGCTTTTTTCAGAGGGGAAGACATATTTCCCAGAGGTCAGCTCAAGGTGCCACCGTATCTACGCAATTATGCAAAAGCAACAGTTCGGCGTAACGAAGACGAATACAGCACAGAGTACCAACAGTTGAGTTCTGGATTGGATGGCACGATTCTGGGAAGATCTCTAGGAAAATCGGATAGTCTTCCTTCTGTTAGCAAGCCAGGGAAAAGTAATCCTTCTCTGGAGTCAGGAAACACAAAAGTAAAGCAATTAGCAGCACCAGAGAAAGTTGACAAGTCAGTCGAGGTTGAAAAGACAGACATGAATAGAAACCAGCTTAATGAATTACAACGCTCGATACAAACCCGATTAACAGGTCCAGCACTCGAGAGTTTTGATGTATATCCATTAGCTGGCATGCGGTGCACGGGACAACGCATGAGTCTAGCGGAATCCCAACAGAATCTGCCTAAACGAGGAAGCTTACCCTCGAGTGGAGACGAAGCCGTAAAAGACAGTTTGAGTTGCGGGCAAGTCGTTAGCAACGGAGCAACCTCTACAACTTCACACTCTGTCTCTCTTAACAAGCTATATTCTTGCCTAAAGAAAATGAAAGGTAGAAGAAACGAAGCTGGGCAATACGATGATTTAGCAACGTTTGCCATGAATGGCCGTGAACCTGGTTTCAGAAGGGGTTATTTCCAGAGAGCTTTTGCCTCAAACAATACGAGCCCCGCTCAAACACGCGGTGAACGCGAAGAGATATTTTTGCTCCTTGGCGGCAAATCGAAACCGGTGCGCTTTCAAATCAATCCAGAAGGTCTGAACTTGTTGGAAAAAGAATGGCGCGTTGAACTGAAGTCCAGAGATTCGATATTTTGTCATTCGGACGAGGAAGGTTTGCAACTTTTACAAAAGTTTCGAGCACGTTTTCGAAGCAACCAAAGAACAAATTTCCTGGATAGGAAAACACCACTCTTGCCCGTACCATGGGCACGCCACGTTGTCCATAAAGGACGTAGTTTGAGTCCAGAGGAAAAAGAACAATTGGAAGAGGACGAAAGTGGGCGAAAACTTTCGATTCACGTCTATCTGCCTAATGCTGGATGGGACGAACAAAGAAATTCAACACCTTCGACACCAACGTTTTCACCGAGCAGATGACAGACTATATAAGACGAATACAACAAACCAAATTATTGGAGTTACTGTAATCTGCATGGTCGCTAAAGTTGCAGTTTAGTTTGTATTTCTTATGTCGATGAATTTAATTGAAGTGCCTGTTTTTGCTGGCTAAATATATTTTCATTGGTTTGCAATTGTTTTGACGTTGTTTGAGTCAAAGGTAACATGCTAATTTGGTAAATAAATTCAGTTTGCGCCAAAAATGCTAAAACAACAAAAGGCCAATTTCCAAGGCTTTTGTCGGAACTTATGATCTATCTTTGGTGCAAATTGATTGTAAATTAAATCAAAATAAATGAAATTAGGCAGTTGTTGAAATGCTTCCGAGTCAAATTATTAAAATTCAATTTTACAGGCTTAACAATGTGTGTGTTTTTATTTTTGAAATTATGAAAGACATTTCAGAACAACAAGATAACATAAACATGTTCTGGCTAGATTTATATTACAGGGAGTATTTGATAAATAGCGGTCGTTATAAAACGGGAGCTTGCCGACATATAACTCCGCCGGCTTGAAAAGTGGTTCGCGTTTATCGCGCGCGCATGATTGTGAAAGGAGAGGAAAAAACCCAATTTCTGACGCTTGCGGGCGGTTGTTTTTAAAATTCTCTCGCGATGAACAGGGATTAATTTTCTTTTAGATAGAGCGGATCAAATATAGTTAAACTTCTACGAAAGTGAAGAGGTGAAAAACCGAAAAACATGAAAAATGTAGAATTTTTATCGACTTTCTGTTCCATTCTTTCACTCTTCCATATATAAAGCGGTGTTCTTTTTGCAATGACCGGATCAACTGCACCAACACAACAAAACAGGGAAACATAAAAGACCTGACAATAATTATCTCTCTTGAAAATGAGTTTGATATGGAAACTGATTTGAAAGTTACCGTAATTTTTTCACAGGAAATTAAAAGTAGCTTCGTTTCAAAAAAACATCGATTAGATTTTATCGCTGACACAGTGATATCAGAACGAAGGTTTTAATAAAGCAAAAAATATCAGCTCTTAAAAGGTGGATATCTTCTCTTTTCTCGATGTTGAAATTACGTTGAGAATGGTCGGTCGTTTTTGTGGCGCATTATGTATATGACGTAGCTATGGCCTCAAGTATAAATGACTGTGGGAAAGGACACATTTTGTGGTCTGTGTAGAAAACCTGTTTCTGAACAAAATTAAAAGAAAAAATTGCGGCCGCATTCTTTAAACCGGTTCATTTAAAGTGGCGATATTAATGTCTTTAGCATCATAATTTGAAAGGCGAAATCTTAAGACGAATTGCTCTTCTAAATCTAATGTTATTAGACCTCTTCGCGTGGCTGACGAAGATATTGCTGCCCGTAGGGGTTTCACTGTTCTTTTAGTTAAAAGCGGAAGGTTTTGCGGTTTTCCCGTTTCCTCCGCGTTTCCCATCTCAGGCATCCCTGGATTAATATCCTTCCATGATTCTGATTTCCTTGTTTTGATTTTTGGCAGATGTTTAGGAAACGTTTTCTGACAGTCTCTAGTCTTCACGGGCCGCGCGGGAGTTGCGAATTCGTCGGCCTGCTTGGAATTTCGTCTTGGAAACGTTCTTGTTGTCAAAGGTGGTAACAACAATGGTCGTTTTACACCTTTTTTTGTCAAGAAGTTTCTCTTCCCATTGCAGTTTAATCTCTCTTTGTCTGTTCGAGTGTTGTGGAACAACTCCTCTTTGTAGTATTCGCGTAAAGACGAAGGCAAAGACATGTGTTGTTCATCTTGTAACCTTTTTTCCTTTCGCAGATCCGTCGTCTTTGCGACTTTATAGTTCGACGCATCGTCGGCAACTGGGAATCGACCGTTGTGCAATGGCGGGTAAAAGTAAAGTGGTAAAGTGTTTTTTGTTATTTTACCTCGACGGTCTTGAGGTTGATCACTTTCTCGCTTTCTATTCCTAGAGCGTTGCTCCATGTTCTCCTGCGTCCATACTTGTCAATTTGCCGCTGTATGTGTCCAGTATTATTGTTATTAACTAAATAGCGCAGCAGATGTTTTTTCTGGAGGGAACAAAATACATTGAATAAAAATAAAATATTTGCTTTTAAAGACAAACAATCTTGCAGTGTCATGAACTAAGACACAACTAATAAGCAGTTTCTGTCGTCATGAAAAATCTGGTAATCCCTCTGGCAGGAGAGGTTGTTTGAATGTTCTCGACTGGTTATGCTTAAGAGACTTTTAAAACGGTGACTTCAATAATAAACGATAATAACTTCTTTTTAGAGAAGGACACTATAGAATTAAGATTATTCACAGGAATCTCGGAGAAGGAATACAAAAATGCCAATTACATCTTTTCTTCCCATAAGGATATTGTTTTTCCGGCCCAGGCTGAATTTTCTTATTTTCCTACCTATCTTAGGCTGAAAATATTCTTGTGAATATTCTTAGATTATAGTGTATGAAATTTTCGTTTTATTGACTTTGATAGCATTGAAGTAATTTTGTGGCAAGACTGCAGGCAATAAAGCCTAATATGAAACTTATAACTCAGTTCTTGCAGCAATGTTATCAGCATTGAACATGTGGCTAGTACGCGCTGTTTTTGCGGTTGTTTGATGGCTAGTTTGCTGTCTAGATGTCTAGATTAAAGAAAGGAAGAGTTTTAGGTTTACTTTAAAGCATGATATAATTGTGTTGTGTTTACAAATTTTAAATACATAAAATTATATTTTTGTCTCATCTCAGCTTCGTGTTTATATTCTTAAAATTTCGCAAATTTCAACCTTGATACTGCTTATAAAATATATTTTTACAGGAAAGAGAGTGTAAAGGATGCCGAATAACTGTGCCCTTTCGGAAAATGCTCGTTATTGTAGAATTACATCCGAACACTTATCGATCTCTTCCTCCCAGTTTAGATGAGTTTCACTATATCCCTTCGAAGCGGGAGGTTTGTTAGTTACAGTAGTACGTTAACAGACACACTCGAACGAAATAAAGTACTGTTGCCAATTTATTATCACAACTACAACAAAATTCGAGGAGAAAACATTAAAGCGACCGAAATCTGTTAAATTAATGAGTTGTGATACTTCCGCTATGGCAAACATGATTTGCGAAAAAATATTTCTGAAAGGTTTTGGCTGCATAAAGAAGGAGTATGCTGCTCACTCTATGATTTGCATGCAAAAAATAGGACGTACTCATCTATTAAAGACTAATAAAATTCGAGAGATTCGTAAGGGTAAAATTCTCTGAAATAGGACAACAAACCCTCAAAACGCATTCAAATTAAATTGGCGTACAATCTCTATCTCTTGTACAGATGATAAACTCGAGGAAATTTCAAGCAAAAATTGTTACAGTATTGAAACATTACAAGCAGTCAGTTGTCAGTTGGTTTTTCGGTTTAGTATATGTAGTCATTATAACTATGGCTTCTCTAAAATTTACATTGTAAATTGAAACGTCTAATTACTATACACGCTGAATTGGACTTACCAACAGCGAAAAAAAAAGTTGTCCACCTCGCGAAAAGGTAGTGAAAAGCACTAAAGCGAACTGAATAAAGACTATTTGTACATCATGTTGATGTTGAAGCGAAATTTCCGCCCAAACAAGTGCGAAGTAAATGTAAAGTCTTTCTCACCTAGTTTAAACAGGTGATGTCGGGCATCAGTCATTGACATCA